GAGGTCACAGATTTGCAGTGAATTCTGGCAAGAAAATGTTCTAAGCACCAAAGACATCAAACTCAGCAGATGCACTCAGGCTGTGACATCAATTTAAACACTGGGGCAGTGTCCAGCTGCTTTACTTCATTAGCACAAATTATATTGTACTAGCAGAAACTAGGTTTTGAACGATAGGCAAATAGAGAAGCCAACTGAAATTACATTTGTGCAAGTGTGGTAGAGTGCTAGCATTGGATAACGTTCAAAAGGATGGGCTGTAAGAGTCCATCTTCTAATGATCTATCCCAACAGGGATTTCTTTCCTTTAAGCGAGCACAACATCAAAGGGGGTGTTACCGTTCCTTCCTCTTCATTTGACATCTCCTTTGGGAAGAATCCCTTAACTGTTTTCCTCTTCCCCACTACTTAGTTTTCATGCTTCTGGGTGGTAAATCAAATGCTTTCCTAAAAGTTGTATCTGGCAGCTGTGGCAGAAAAGGAGTTCTGTAAGCAGAGGAGTAGCCAGATAAGGCCAGGTTCTCCAGCCTTAGCTTCCCATGGTAGTATTGGAACCCATGTCTTCCTCTTCTGGTTTGGAATCTGATCCTGGCTCCCAGTTAGTAGCACCCACAATGGCGCTTGAGTTGGTCCCATCACTAACACTTCTGTAGGTTAAGAAACATACACCTGGGGGGGGGGTTGTTTTCAATTGTTAGCTTTTCTGTAATTTTTTATGTTTGGCTAATATTTAATAATCATTTAGCTCCTCTTCTTTCTCCTGGCACTGGACTCCTAGTGAAGAGAGCTTTAAGTGGGAAATTAATAAACTCCAATATATGGGTTTGCCTATGGCCTCCTGGGTTATTTGAGAAGATGACCCAGTTGGTCAAAAGCCTAGTGGGGCTGTGCTTCTGGCCCATCCTGGACGCTTGGCTTTCCTTAGGCCTATTCCAAGCATCCCCACTGTAGGGACTTTTTGTAGGCAAAGCAAGTGTTTTCCCTTCCTTTACTACATTGGGAAAAGAGAAAATGATGAGGCATGGAAAGGACTGTAGCTTGGTAGTAGAATACATGTTGTGCATGCAGGTTTAATCACCATCAACCTCAGGTAGAACCAGCAAAGACGCCTATCTGAAACCATTAAGGGCTACTGGTGGTTACCATAGTCCAGTTGTAGGCAGTGTATGGCCCTCTAGATGTTTTCACCTACAACTCGTATCAGCATTAGCCATTATAGCCATAGTAAGCCCCAGATTTCTAGGGGCACACAAGTTGCCTGTATTGAACTAGGTGGGGCAATGATCTAATTCAATAGAAGGGAGTTCCCTATGTCCCACTGTGAAACTGAACCGTTGGGAGTACCAATGAGTGTACATCCTTTCTCCAACAGGTCACCGAGTCAGGAAACAGGTTTGCGGTTGCCTCAGTGTTATCTGTGAGCACATCCCTTCATTTCCTCCCAGTTTGGATGAACCCTTTTAGAATCTGTCCCTCTAGCATCTTCCTTTCATGCTCTCATCCCTGTAGCACGTTCTTCCTCTCATGCTCAGCCCAGTCCTGCAAAATGAACCAAGCCAAGAGGGAAGTCCATGAATGTTCACAGACACCTGGCTGGTCAGAAGGTAAGGATCCAAGGACAGGGAATCCAGCGGATTCCCACCCCCAGATTCCTAGTTCCCACTCACTTCTCCAGGATACTATTCCTGTGATGGCAACAACTTCTTTTATACTTGAATTTGGGTGGGCTAACTCTTACAGACAAGGTTTCCCTCCCACAGGACCTACTGAGGCTTAGCCATTCAGTCAGGTCTGGTCTGTGTTGCTTTCACATTTGTTCAGTCAGAAATCTCACCTGTCCTGTCTGTGTGATTTTTTGTTTAGTTAAAAAAAAAACAAAACAGGATATGCAGTTTCCCTAAAGCACAAATTTTGTATTAAATGTTACTACTATTTTTATTTTTGAGCCAAGAATTCCACTGAAGAATACAGAGAAGTTTGTAAAGCAAACACTACCTGCATTCCAGTCTGCGTATTAGACTGAGGAAGTGCAAATTTGGTGCCTAGCTTTGAATGTGTCTTTGCGCACAAGCCCTTGAAGGTGCAAGCCCAGGCCCTTCCTAGCAAAGATAATCACCATAGCCACTTCCAAAAAGTAAGTTGCAAAATAGAAAGTAAGTTGTAAGGAAGCTGATGCTTCTGAAAATCAGCTGGCATTGCCATTTAGAAAGGAGGAACTGTTACCTCTTGACTTTCTCCTGCTTATCTTCTGGATATTGTGGCAAAACATGTGATATATATACCCAAGGGGTGCAGCCTTCTTCAACCTGGTGCCCCCAGATGTATTAGAATACATCTCTTCAGCAGCTACAACCATCCTGTCCAACAGCAGATTAAGGACAGCAGATTGAGGAAGGCTGCAACATATTCTCTTTAGACTGCCTATTGGCTTAAAAAAAGGCTTCTTTTTAAAAGGAACATATTAGTAAGCCAGACTGTCTAGACTACTGCTGTGTTGAATGTTTCTGAGCCAAACAATTAGTTAAATTGTTTAGCCAGCTAAAGTGAGCTCTGTGGAACATGGCAAGTGCCCCTCTCCAACAGCATTGTGCTAAAGTTAGAAACCTGATTTTGACCCCGTGTTGCAGCTGTTCCCTTTTTCGTGCATGCCTTGGACACAACAAGCACGGACCGAACTACAGAAGAGACAAAATAACAGGCAAGAGGAAATGGGAGGCGGACTTTGGTTGTTTGCACCAGCCTGGGGATAATGGGAAGTTTTGTTTCTTTTGAACAATGCACAGGAAAGCACATTGTGCAGGGAAGGGAAGTTGATGTTACAAATAACTGCCTGACAATGAGAACAACCCCTGTGAATCTTTAAATCAGGGATTTGAACAATGCTAATGGTTGGATTATCAAGCTAAACAGAGCAATGGATAAGCAGTGAGCTTCCAAATGTGTTTCTTATGGTTTCTGTTTTCCTAACTGCAGAGCAGAACTGCAATTCTTGCAGAGGGAGTTTTAGGAATTATTACAGAGCAGGCGGGAAAATGCCAGACCTAGACAAAAATCAACTGCATATTGTGCTTATTAGTCTCTCCAAGTCCTTTGCATCTGGAACTCAGATGTATTTGTCTGCCCAGCTGGAACTGATTGTGGACACGTTGGAATATAAACACAAAGTGTATGTTGCCTCAGGTGCCTTTGGACAGAGGACTGGCCACAGATACCAGCAGATATCCATGAAACCAGTACAGTGCAATGCATTACAGCAAGGTTGGGCAATATATTTTGGTCTATAGCTCCCAGCATCCAGCATCCTTGTCCATGCTGGTTAGAGCTGATGGGAGTTGTAGACCAGAACATCTGGAGGGTCACCAGTTGCCCACCAGCTCAATCTTGCTGACACGGTGCTGTGCCTGAGATTCAACTTGGCTCAGTTGTGCTGTTTCCTCACAACCACCTCTCACAATGTGAGTGTGCAAAGACAGCAAAAGGGACACTTCCAGCAAGGCCTAGAAGTGGTGGGTTTCTCTATGCAAAGCTTCCATACACCATGCAATGCTTCATCTCCTCAACATCATTAATTTATATCATCATCATCATCATCATCATCATCATCATCATCATTCCTGTACTTCCCAGAGCCAAAGCTTTCTGGGTAGTTTACAGCAAAGTATTCAAACAATAAAATACAATAGATAAAAACATTAACAAGAATTAAATATTACCAAACCAAGAAGAGCATGGAACGCACCTAGTTAATCGCTTCAGGCCCCTGAATGAGCAGGGAGGTCCTTAAAGGCCTCTGGAAAGCAGGCTGTCTTAACCTGGTGTCAAAAAGATGGCAGATTTGGTGCCAGGCAGGCCACAGCAAAGAGGTTGTCCCAAAGATGGGGGCCACCACAGAAAAGGCCCTCTCCCTAGTTGCCAGGTTTCATGCACCTTGAGGGGTTGGCGCCTGGAGGAAGGGCCCAGAGGCTCAGCATAGTGTCCAGGTAGATCAGGGTTGGGAGAGGCACTCAAGCAGGTTTTGCAGTCCCACCCTGTGTATGACATACAAAGGAAGGGCTGAAGGCTGTATTGAGACGTTATTGATACCCATTCCCTGCAATGCCACCTCTTCCTATACACACCCTGGTACACTGGTATTGGCTGGAGGATGGAAATACAGTAGTTGGTTTGGCTAAGTATGGTTTCCATGAATGAACCCTGCCAATTAAAAAATTGTTAAATCCTATGCAGTTTTCAGCCCCAAATTATATAATGCAGTTTTAAAAAGGAAAAAAAAGTATACATCTGCAAAATGTATGTGCATATGTGTGTGATTTCTTTGAGACTCTGTAAACAAATTTGCTACCTTTTCTAATAAATTAACCACTTTCACTGGTTTCGTTCAAGAAACAGAATCTTGTCATTCAAATTTAATAACTCTGTTTTGTTTTGTTTTGTTTTGTTTTGTTTTAAACATTCTGTATTATATTTTACCTATGTAAGGTTTTCCCACACACATGCTTTTGAGGGGGGGGCAGGCTTTCAGAACAGTTAATTCTGTCTCAGAAGCATATATTCTCCCTTTCATTAGACAAAAATCATGTTACAGTGTTCTTTTTCATAAAAGTGAGATTCTCTGGCAACAGATAATAAGCTGCAGGCGGATGTGAACGTTTATTTTTTTTCCTTTGTTGTTTTTCCCTCTGGATTCTCCCTGATTTAAAAAAAAAAAACCTCAGGAAATGAATGGTTATTTTAATGGAGTGGTGCATGGCATAAATACTAACGTGATTCATACATTTTTCCCTTTTTGAGATGAAGAGTATTCCCACCTTTAACTCACAAAACTGTTCTTTGAAAAGTAAGTGCATGTTCTTTAAAACTAATGGTCCATTTCCTTGTGGTATAGGGAGCATAACTGTTTTATGTGCAGTTAGATTGTATATCACACATCACTGCAAACGTTTTAAGGAATGCTTCAAATTGAAAGATATGAACCTTAATTTTTTTTGTATTTCTTAAAGGTCAAGTGCTGTAAATACTGGCCAGATGACACAGAGATATATAAAGACATTAAAGTTACTCTAATAGAAACGGAGCTCCTGGCAGAATATGTGATTCGAACATTTGCAGTAGAAAAGGTGGGTGTGAAAAGATATAGCTCCCCAGTACATTTCTAGACTCGTGTCTTAGCTATAGTTACCACATCTTGAAGTTAACTCATTTCCTTCATGGGTAGAACTCCACCGCCCCTACTGGTGTGGTTGTTTTCCCCATTTAAACCACAACCTTTAAACCTCCTTTTCAACAGCAAATGAAACTGAAGGGGTGGAGATGTTTACAGTAGTGATACGTCTGCTTCTGTCTGGTTTGAAAATGCTGACTGCTCTTCCCCCCGCCCCTCTTCTTTTTTATGCAATGGTGGATGGACAGAGAGGTGCCCATGAAATCCGAGAAATCAGACAATTCCACTTCACAGGCTGGCCAGATCACGGCGTACCTTACCACGCAACAGGACTTCTAGGATTTGTCCGGCAGGTCAAATCCAAAAGCCCGCCTAACGCAGGCCCGCTGGTTGTGCACTGCAGGTTGGTCAAATGAAAAAAAATTCTGGCTTGCCTAGCTCAGAAGGCCACTGGCCTAATTTATTTATCTCTCTGAACTCAGCACAGTGGGGCTAGATATGGTTAGGGTTGGCGTATATATTATGTATGTTGTGGCAATTCATGTGGAGTGTCACCTAATAGAAGCCAACCCTTCAATGGGCAACATCCATGGGCATCATTGTGTAGACTCAAGTAACACTAAAGGAGCTCTGCTGGGGTTTTTTTCATTGTGCAAGTGCTTGTGCATTACCTTTGTGCAATTTAGTTGGATTCCCTCTTGTGCATATTTCGGAGCCTAGTTTCTGTTAGTGCAATGTCATTTGTGCTGGCAAAATGACACAGTTTGATACTACCCAATGTAACACATTATATGTCACTAGGGTCAAAAGTAGAAATCATGTTAAATGAAGTGTTTGCATTTAACATTCAGCTTTAGTTTTAAAAGATGCAAATAGTATCAGCTGGGGAAAGAACTGACAATTAACATGATCGTAGTAGGCAGGAAAAAGAATTTATCCTCGGCAAACTTCCGCTTCTGAATCCTGTATTGGCACTAATGGTGCAAACACCAGCTTCAGAAGCTTGTTCTGCAGCCCTAGAGTGCTTTGCAATATAATGAATTTTAGCTTGCATTTCCCAAAAGCTGGGAGGCATCTTCTGTGTAACCATGAGAGCTAAAGGGTCTCATTACTTAATGCAAAAGCTATGCTTCCAACAACCCTAATCAGTTCATACTGGATTTATTTTGTCCTACAATAGAACTTTTTACCTAGTAAGATACTATCTGAACCCAAAGCTATTGTACAAAACTAAGAACAGAACTTTTCCAGTAGGTAGAACTTCTTAATCTTTTATAGGCATGCGAGTCCAGCAGAACTTTTGTTTAAGTTTCAGTTACTGGCATTTTCTGAACTTTCAACCTGTGCTTTTGCATTTACAGTGCTGGTGCTGGCAGAACTGGGTGCTTCATTGTCATTGACATTATGCTAGACATGGCAGAAAGGGAAGGAGTTGTAGATATATACAACTGTGTCAGAGAACTTCGGTCTCGAAGAGTGAACATGGTGCAAACAGAGGTATACCAGTTGTGTCATTGCCCTGCCATTTATGTTCCTTGCATTATGTTGAATAAAATGTCATTTTATTCTACCAGAAGTTGGAATTAAATTAATATAGGTTTCAGGTACCCTTCTACTCCCCCAAGACATGATTACTCCTCCTTGATACATTAGCTGAGTTCAGTACATAGAGACTGTTCCACCCAGAGGGCTTTTAATGGAACCTGCAGAAATGGAGAAGGTTGTTGGAAACTGAGACATGGGTGGTGAGGTTAAGGTAACTGAGTCAGGTGTTAGCAGTAGGACAGGTGTGGAGCACCGCTGCCCCACGGGCCAAATGTAGCCCACATGGGGTCCCAAGCCAGCCCTTCAGTTCTTCCTGATGGCCACACCCTATTTCTCAGCCATGACTAGGTGGTGGCTTTCCTACTTTTTTACCATCCTGACAGCTCAGAATGTCTCTCCTAAGGCTTTATTATTAGCAGGAAGGGTTTTAAGAGGAAACATGCTGGAATTTTTGTCCGAACCCCTTTGCTTTATCCACCACTGGAATGAAACCTCCAAGAGTGTCTCCAAATTGGATTCAGAGCTTGGGTTGAAAACGGGTCGGCAGCCTTGTAATAGGAAATGCAGGCAAGCTAGGTTTGGAGTGGTTCAGGAAAGGTTTTGCTGTACAACTATCTTTTAAAAAGAGGGTCCTGCAAGGAGTGAAAAATGGGCTTATGGGAGAGAGGGCTCCACTGTGTAAGACCTGATGCCATTATCTAGGCCACAGCACAAGGGGATGGAGCAAGGGGATAGTTTTGGGCAGGAGGCACATTAGCAAGTGAACAGAGCAAAAAGGAGAATAAGCTTAAATTAAATGTCAAGGTGGAAGAGCCAGGCTGTTTACCTGGCATTCTTGAAAAACAGCGATTCCATGTGGAATAAGTAATCACTCTGTGGGATGCAGCCATCGCAAACACCTCTGACTTACCTGGATTCAGCTTCATTTCCTTAGCCCTCCTGCGTACTATAACAACACCCAGGCATGTGTCTAGTTCTCACTTAGAAGGTTTTGGAGCTCTGCTACACAGGTGGGCCTTCAGGTGCTTGAATCGTCCCCTATGCAGAAAATTTCCTCCACACACACACACACACTTGAAAAGGGCTCTGTCCTGGCCTCTTTGCTGACATACTTGTTTTCTATGGCAGGAAAGGGTTTTTATATCCAGAAACTTGTGAGTCTCCACCTGCGCCTTTGACAATGAAGTAGTATAACCCTTATATATAGTCTAAAGCAGTATGGCCGAGTCATAGGTTTAGCACTCAAGTTGAGAAATGAGCCATTAACTCAAGAGATTCACTGCCTTTCCTAGAACAGATAAAAACCAATTATGAGTATATTGATGACACTGTGTGTCAGAACAAGAGAGAAAGCCACTGAAGTTACAGCAGATGTGAATTTACAATAAATACAGATACTAGAGTGTTGTGCCTTGATAACAAATACTGTAGTTAGTTTTCCAAAAGCATGTGCAAAGTTGAAGGTAGCATTTGGATGTCATGTCACTGTTTAAAAAATGGACATGTTAGTTAGAGGTTGCCTTTTACGTGGCACTAGAAATTGATTCCTTGCTTTTCCCAGGAGCAGTATGTATTCATACATGATGCAATACTGGAAGCCTGTCTATGTGGAGATACCTCTATTCCAGCTTCTCAAGTTAGGTCTGTCTACTATGAAATGAACAAGCTGGATCCTCAGACCAATTCAAGCCAGATCAAAGAAGAATTTAGGGTAAGTCATTAACAAGAACACATTTAAAAGCCAAGTATTGCACAGTGCCTCTTTACATTATATCGTATGGAGTGGGGTTTTTTTAAATGTGCAATCCAAATCTTACCGTTATAGACCAACTTTGACAATGAGTGCCTCAACTTCTTCTGAAAGAATACTCAATTGCTGAGCAACTCTTCCTTCTTTATCTTTCCACATGTGTGTGTGTGTTTGTTTGGATAGACGTTGAACATGGTGACGCCAACTCTGCGCGTAGAAGATTGCAGTATAGCCCTTTTACCGAGGAATCACGAGAAGAACCGGTGCATGGATGTGCTTCCTCCAGACAGATGCCTGCCCTTCCTCATCACAATCGATGGGGAAAGCAGTAACTACATTAATGCTGCACTGATGGATGTACGTTCCTGTCCTGGTGTTAATGCTTAGAAGAGAATTGATTGTTTGGCAGACCAGAAAGTACCAGAAGGCAGAGTTAGCATCAGGGGCTCAGTTCTTTCTAATACTGTAATTCTTTGCATGTTTAGACAGAAAGAAGTTGGAGTTGTGGGCCTTTTTCTGCTTAATATGCGTAGGAGTGCACGCTAATTTGCATTCTGTAAAACAACAAGAAAGCAACCTTTCAACATATGTTTGAGCCTATATATGTTATAATGTACTGTTGAGGCCTCAGTATATTTTGAGAGAGTTAGTACACTAGGAAGCGCCTGTTCCCAACCTGCTTGTCTCTTCTCTAATATTGAGCAGCCCTTAATATTGAGACTGCAACTCTAATATTGAGTGGCAGTCCAAAACATCTGGAGGGCACCAGGTTGAAGAAGGACGCTCTTGCGTATTCGCTATAATGTTTTAAAGGAAAAGACTTACCTATTATGTCACTAAGGCAGCTTGTCCTCGTATTTAGTTTCAGAGCCATATTTTCATTTCCCCTTCTTCAATTTTCATAGCAATTAACATTGGAAAAAAATAATAATTGCCTGTCAGCATAGATAGTACACAAGCTATTACCTCAGTCATTCTTTTCTTTTCTTTTTTTATTGAAGGAACATTTCCTAAAGATCTCCCTGTGGCACCCCCTCCACCACCCCCATTAAACACAGCCATGAAAGTTTTAAAAGCAATAATAGGGATTCAGTAGAAGGATACTTAAATATGTTTTATACTCTCTTGAGATTTATAGAGTATCTCTGACATTTTGGAGCAACAGTAATTAAGGCTGTCACACATACGTATAGACATGCCAAGAAAGCAGGCTTTGGAAACAAATGGAGACATTTTAAATAACCTTCCGTAAAAGCAATCCTTGAAAAAGCAATACATGTAGCTTGCATTTTTATCATGTTTTTCCCTTGGTACCCTGACGCTAATGAAGAGACGTGGAAGGCTTGTGCGTAGGCAGGGTGGTGTCCCCACTGATCGGTGCCTTTGCGCATGCAACGGAGGCATGGGCATTATCAGCCAGCGAGCTTGTAGTTCTTGCTTGGTGGCAGCAGAGCTGCCAGGGAAACTGGCTGCCGGCACTGCTGCCTTTGCCCCGTTGCTGCTGGTTATGCTGCACTTCCGACTTTGCAGGTGATGGTTGAGCGTGTGCTTGGAACTCTCTCTCGCTGCCATTAGTCCTTGCATCGTACTGGCCATTTTAGCTGGCTCACAGGACTGCCCTATCTCTGGGTTGAAACTGTTATTCTATATGAGCAGATGGGAGGTTTTTGACTGTGTTACCCCCCTCCCTCACTACAGCTCTGCTCCATCCACTCATTTATTTATTATTATTTAAAATATATTTATCCCATCTTTATCCAAAACAGATCTCAAGATGGTTTCAAAACCAGAAACGTAACAACATAACCTTAAAAATATAAATCCAATATATAAAAATATGCTATTTTGTGATTAAAAACAATCAACTATTAAAATACCGGGTAAATCAAAGGTTTTGTACTGGATTTTATACTTGTACTGGTGACACTCTGCCAGTCTGTTGGCTTCATCAGTGAGCGGTCCTAATGGTGCAATTATGTCTGCGTAGATTCCCTACACCAGCGTGTCATCAGGCAGCACTGATACAGGGAATACTCAGAAGCGATCTTGCTTGTACCCAGCAGGACATGGGACTGCTCCTGTCAATCCCCTGCTTCCATTCAACAGCTGCCACTGCCTCCATGAAATCAAGAAAGCCATTCAGGCTTCAATTTGATTTGTTAGTGGCCCTTTAAAAATTGGCCTCAGGACACCACAGGGCTAATAAACATGCCTGAGCATCATTTGTCCATGTTTGCTCTCTTCTATGCAGTTCCAAAGCCATTTGATACCACTGTCATTTATGAGTGCCCCAAGGCTAGTGTACCCTTTGCTACAACTGATACGTTCTCGTTACAGCATTAATCTGACAGTGCTGCCCAACTGAATCCGTGTTCCCTGTGTTTTGCAGAGTTATAAACAGCCATCAGCTTTTATAGTGACCCAGCATCCTTTACCCAACACTGTCAAAGATTTCTGGAGACTGGTTCTAGACTACCACTGCACATCCATAGTCATGCTGAATGATGTAGATCCAGCACAAGTAAGTTTAATGAAACTGTACTTTATAGTTTTACAGTAACACACATATGCATCCAATTTCTCGTTAAGCAATTTGAGCTTTAAAGACTCCAAGTTAGATAAATAGCTTAGGAATGGAAAGAAGGAAGAATAGATAAGCAGAAGTGTTGCAAATATCTTGCCTATAATTCAAGTTTAATCCCAGTCGAAATCATGTCAGAAAAAAGCTTTAAGAACATATTGTCCATTTGAAGTATAAATGGATAATTGCAAGTCTAAGAAAAGCTAACTAACTTAGAAGGGAATGGAAGTTTGTCAAGTATTTGTTTAATGCCACTATGTTAACTGAGCAGAAGTCAATATAACTAACATCTTTCAAATATATTCTGTGATTTACAAAAATCTTTGCTGTGAAAAGGTTGTGCTAGAGCCCATTTCCACCAATCTCCATAATTTCAGCAGGTGTTAAAGCTTCTGGTAGCCAAGATGCCTTTTCTTGGAGTACTAACTGAATAGTTTTTGTCTAGTTCCTTGTATGTCACTATTCCATTTTCAGTACAGGGGGGCGGAATTGAATCTGAAATCAAATATTTTATCTTCCTCATGTATATCCTTCCCTCCACCGAAGAACCCAGAATGTTCTACGGAAGAATTACATTGTAAAATACTTAAGATTAAAAAATAACAACTGACAAAAGAGTGTCGAACACGAATTTGAATCTAGGCTTCATTGATCTGAGTTCGCCACATATGAGCTCAAGTTGTATTTTCCAGGGCCTGAAGCACTGGTTTTTCCCGTTGATATTATCTTCCTGAGAAAACGGATATCACTCTGTGGTAGACCATATTCTAATGGAGAAAAGAGTCCGTTGTGCATCTCCATGGGAACTAGTTCCTGGGGATTCAGTTCATCCGTTTGAGGATGCACACAGTATTGCGGCACAGAACTACAGCTGCAGAGAACCAGATGGCAGCCTGTCAGGAACACGGGTGGTCTTTCACTGTGGTCATCCACACTAGGACGAGAATGGGATTAGCATGAAGTCCTGACACATCGTGCGTTCTGCTCAGCCAAGCATAATTATTTCTCCGTTGCTCTTCCTGCTTCCTTCTAACCAAAGTGGTGATGACAGGGAGTGAAGGCCTGTCCTAGGAACAGTCAGTCAATTCCGTAGAGCAGCCCAAGAGCCAAATGAAAGCATTTTACAGACAAATGGAGGTTGTGCTGCACCTTTCCTTGATGGTTCATCAGCATCTCGATGTAAAAGAGGTGCAGGCTGTTAGTAATTCTTGGCCATAGCCCCTAAAAATTAACAGTTCTTAATTAAATGTTTTTGGTAAGTGACTAGATATTCGTTACCTGATCTTATGTACCTGCTATATATTTTGGGTGTATTTATCATAAATAGTTTTTACAAGTAAAAAATGTAAGAAAATACGTTTTCATCATACTAGAAGTATGTTGTACTTGTGTTAAAATTCATAAGTAATACCCCCGTCTGCAAGTCAGTAACTACAAATTGCAAATGCTGTCTTGCATATTTTGTATCCCAGCCACACTCATCTGCCTCCTGGGAAATACATGAAAGGCAAAAACCTTGTTTGTGTATTGGTGGTTATTTTCAGAGTGAAAGAGAAAGGCTCAAGGGAGCCAGACTTTTAGCTGCCACTAAAAAGCAAATTTGAATTTTTCAGCCATGCTTTGAATATACAAGAGCATAAGCTGTTTTAGCTTTCCACTGGTCTTCTTAACCACCTTTTTAAACTATTGGGGCCTGCTCTCTCTCAGGTATTACATCTGTTTTGGTGTTTTTGCCAGTGTCCATTACAACATGTTAATTAAGGGATGCCACTCAGAATTCAAAGAATAGAGTAGGGAAGGAAATAATAGATTTCAATAGAAATCATAAGTTCCATTTACACTTTTAATTTTAAAAGTATGCATCCGTATGATGCATTATTCTCCGCATGATGCATTTTTTCTATACTCAGGATAAGGAATTCATAGACTTTCCTTCCCTGGAGAAATAATTGTCCCTTTTCCCTCAATCGCCCTCACATAACTCATTCAATAACAGAAAGTGAAGTGAAAGCTGCTCTGGAAGTAGTCGCAAGAATAAAGCACCTGGAGTAGATGGGATACCAATAGAACCATTCCAAGGTACAGAAAATGAATCAGTCGGAACCCTAACAAAAGCATGCCAACAAATATGGAAAACAAAACAGTGGCCCTCAGACCAGAAACGTTCGATGTATATTCCAATCCCCAAGAAAGAAGAGGCAAAAGAGTGCAGCAAACATCGAACCTCAGCATTAATCTTCCACGCAAGCAGAGTGATGCTGAAGATGTTGCAACAAGGATACTACCCTATATGGAGCAAGAAATGCCAGACGTCTAAAGAGATCCTATTGCAAATATAGGTTAGCTACTGGAGCACGCCAAAGAATTAAATTTAAAAAAATCAGTCTGTGCTTTATAGATCACAGCAGAGCCGTTGAGTGATGGTCCTGAAAGAAAGGAGCATAACTCAGCACTTGATTGTCCTGATGTGTGCCCTGAATCACAGACAAGAAGCTACAGTTAGGACAGCATAGGAAAAACATGATGCTTCCCCATAGACAAAGGTGTCAGGGAAGGATGTATTTTATCTCCCTATATGCGCAGTCTGTACACAGAACAGATCAGAAGGACAGCTGGATTACAAGCACAGTACTCCATTTCAGTCTGGGCACCCAACTGCGTTTCCAGGCAGTGTCCAGAAAAGGGGAGGGGATCACAGGGTTGCAAAACATGAGTTTGGTTGTGCATCTCTGATTTAAAGTGACATCCAATTTGACCCTTAGATTTGCATTGAGCTCAATAAGCATACTTTCTTCCCCAAATCTGGTTCCTTCCTATCATTCTATTTTGTGACAGCTCGTGCACTGTCGTTTAGCTTTATATTTGGAAAAGCTCAAGATGGTTCTCATACTAGCAGGAAATGGTCCATTCTGTGCACTTTGTGTTACCATGCATTTGTCTTGGAATATTGTTTCCAAATTTCAGGAACAATTTCAGGATATGTAGATACCTCTGCCACCCTTCATTGTTTCGCTCCGTGTCCATTACACCCGATCATGTTGCCACTCACAGATTAATGCCAGGAATATTGGGAGGAGAAAGATTAAGTAGTCCTGCAAGGCTGTTCAGTCAGCACGATATGAGCCGACAATTAAATTGTCCAGAATAGAGTGGCAACAGCCAGAGGGGATCTGGCTATTAGTTCCTATACTTGAAGGTTCTGCAACAAGTTTTTGAGGGAGAAAAAAAAGACATCCACAGATGTAAAAATTAGCAAAAGGTCCAAGCAGCGCTGGTATTATCCAGTAGTGCAGAACTGAGAACAAAATGTTGCCTCTGGAAATTTGAAAGCAGATACACGGTTTAGTATCCAGCAGTCCAACTGCTTATTATACCCTGGGGAGATTGATTGTGCCTTTGGTGGTGTGTCTGCCTCACATAATACTCAACATGTGTTTGACAGTGCCTTTGCATGCTGTCATAGCCTATTGCTAAACTGATGTTGAATAACTGAGCCTAGCACTCCAAATTCAAAAAGGCTTTAAGCGTTTAGTAGTAAGCAGCTTTTGGGTGAAATAGTGTGAGAAGGAGGGGGGTGCAGAAAGCTAAGCCAGACCGGATCCAATTCAAGATGCTGTTTTGTCCTAAAGTTCCACATGATCTAGGCACCATATATCTCAAAAAGCATGACCTGCATGGGTTTTAAGATCTATCAATGCGGTCCTGCTCCGTAAGAAGGGTCTTTTCTGTGGTATCCCCCAGAATGATAAAATGCACCACTTACATATGGGGGCTTCTCTGGTATTTTTTGGAAGCAGGTAAAAATGTTTTCTTTTCCCAGCAGACATTTGGGAATTTTGTTTGTTTGTTTAATGCTGTTTGTGATGTCATCATTCAATTATCAATGTGGTTTTAATTAGATTTATTTTACAAAACACCTTGTAGAAAAAGGCCTATAAATATGCAAATCTGTAATAAAAAACATCTAGAGATCTATGTAAAAGGTTTGTGCTACAATTATGTGGTTACATTTTTACTCACAAGCACTGCAGATTTCAATGGCTCTTTTTCAAATAGGAGCATGAGCAGGATTGTACACTCAGAGATTGAGAAATATGCCTGTGTTTTTCCTTCTCTGAAAATGTGTAATATTTTTAATGAATGCGAATACATTGAGGTTTAACACACTGGTTTCTGGATAAAAGACTGTTAAATGGTGATGCAAAGCTCGGTGACAGGGCATGAGGAACAAGTGGCTTTCAAATGTTGGACTGCAGCTCACCATGGGCTGTGCTGATAAGGTTGATAGGAGCTGCGTTCCACCAGCACCTGGGAGTGCCACACATGAACTGTTTGTCTTTTTGGGTACTCACAATTGCCCAGTACACATTCCAGAAAAGAGTTCATTTTTACAAAGGACACATGTATGGGACTCTACAGTGCTTGAGGGAAGTTCCATACTCTAAAGGCCCAGGGGAGTACCTGGGCAAACATGGAAACCAGTGTGTAGAGATGTATGACAACACACAGAAATGAGAGAGAGAGAGAATAATAGGCTTATGCATGTCTTGATCTCTTTGTCCTACAGTTGTGTCCACAATATTGGCCTGAAAATGGAGTTCACCGACATGGTCCTATTCAGGTGGAGTTTGTTTCTGCTGATTTAGAAGAAGATATTATCAGCCGGATATTCCGAATTTATAATGCGGCAAGAGTAAGGACCTTATTCAGACATTTACTTGCTTTACGGGGTACATATTCAACTATTTGAAAAGTTCAGTTGTCTTATTGGACTTTCATAAAAGCAAGTGGTAAATTCACTTTACTGTCAGGTTAGTGTAATGCTTTATATGTGGGACTGCCTGTGAACATGTTCCTCAAGCTTCAGTTGGCATGGAATACAGGTGCCAGAATTTTAGCAGGTAGAGCATATTCAGAGCATGCCTCACCAGTGGTGGAAGAGCTCTGCTGACTCTCTGGTTGCTTCCAAGCCCCGTTCAAAGCACCGCTCTTGGCTCCTGAGGCCTTAAACAGCTTGAGGCCAGGCATCTAAGGAAGCACCTTCTCCTGTGCTGTGCTGCCACACTCTTAGATCATCCGCTGCGGCCCTTCTTCCTGCCCCTTTTTTGTCAGAGGTGAAGCAGGTTGCAACCACAGGAGGGGCCTTTTCAGTGCAGTGTTGACGGAATGCCCCTCCCTATTTTTTCAGACTTTAAACATTTTTAAATCTTGCCCTTGGTTCTGATTTATCTATCAGTTATAGGATTATGCATTTTTATTGTGGCGTTTTAACAGTGTAACTGCCTCCAGAACTAATTTGAGCAGGGGGCGATATAGCAGTATTTTAAATAAATGAAGACACTTTCTGGTTAAGGAAACAGATTCAGGGTTGGCTAATCAAAGTGTTTTGTTTTCCATAATAAGGGTGCAGTACAGAGCTTCCGTGTAATCATCAGAAGTCATTCCTTTGGTCTGCTGAGGTCATAATGCTAACTCTAGTTACTGGAATGAGCCACAGAGAGCTTTGGCTTCCATGTTCCCTTCTCCATCCTCCTGCATGCTGAGATTAAAGACTGTTAAGCTCATTTACTCTACATTTTTAGGCGTCATATCATCCTCCATCCATTGGAATGACTAGATTTTGTGCAGATTTGTTCATTTTGCAAATTTCTACCTCTGAAAATCCAGACTTGTAATAATGCATAAATCCTTCCAAAGTCCCCAGATCCCTTCCTGCAGTGCACCTATAGTCAATGGGAAAAAAGCAGATTTGGGTTTTTTCATATTTTTTTTAAATTTTCTATTACTAAATTTGCATACAATTACAATAAGTTTTTTTAACGCTCCATGGAATCCATGTAATTCAGGAAAAGCTGTTCCACTGTGAAAACCATAGGTAATATCAATAGAAATCTGAATTCATTTGACTCCATTGCAAATTCTCTGACATCCATATTGCCATGGTCACAAAGAAGATTGTAAAAGCTTTCACTTCTGTTTCAGATTAATAACAGGTTGCAATGTTGCCTGAAGCAAGACAAACTGTGATTAATTTTAATTATGGATAGTTGAAAGAAACTCCCATCAAACTGTATTTTACGAAGCTGACTTCTTTTCATTAGCCATAGTTGAGAGTAACCACTATTCATGGTTCAGATGACATGCTAAACTGCAGTTAAATCTAAAACCAAAGTATAAACTTCTGGCCTCAGTCTTTTAGCTTCATTGGGGTAGCAGTGCTGCAGGTGCACCCAAAGTTTCTCTCTTAATGCTAAACCCTAACCCTTAATGTACTGAGTGTAGCCACTGTGTCCCATGCAATCATTACGCTCATAAGAGAGTCATTTGAAATAAAGAATGTGGTAAGAAAGGCCTGAAGGAGCCCTCTTAGAATTGAGTCAAATCAGTAAACTATCTAGTCCATAACTACCAGTTGTTATTTGGAGAATGCAAAACTAAGCTTTCCATAATTTTTAGTGCTCTAGCCCTCAGTGCTGGTCCCAGCGTTCGAATTACCAAAGTGACAGCATGGCTGGCGGTCCCTTTCCTTTTCGACTTGGCACCACCATGACACGTTTTACCCCTGGAGCCATGATTTGTTTATAATTTGTGCTTTTACTTTCCATTAAGTCATTCTTATCTTTCCATATAATTTCACCAGTAGAACTAAGGCTTATATGCTTTACCATGGTGATGAAAAATTATTCGGCAAAATTGGAATTCTGTGATCATGTGATAATTATTTCTAAAACAGATCTTACTTTCGAGTAAATGGGTATAGCCCCTAAAGTGAAAAAGTAATAATCTTGTACCATGTTTCTTTTCTATTCTTCTAAAGATAACCAAGTTCAAAAAGCAATTTCTTCTTTATCTAACTGATGTAAAAGTGTAACTTGTAAATTTTAGCATGGAGTATCAAAGTATGCATTCAGAATGTATTTTTCAGAAAAGCATATTGTTTGCAGCAATAACTACCACTTTCCACCTTTTAAGGAAACAGTGAAGAAGTCTACCCTTAGGGTCATTTTTCAAGGTTTGCTTCAGTGTTCTGTGTGATATTCAGTGAAGTACACTGAAATAAAAGAATAAATTTTTCAAAAGGGGAAACTAACAAAACCTTTTATCTGGCTATTTATTTATTTATTTATTTATTTGGAGGTGTTAAAGGCAGAAGTCGGAATCTGAGCTTTAGAACCTTTCTAGGTTTCAAGGGTGCAAGACACCGTGTAAGAGCATTTAGAAGATGCTCTATTAGATATTTTTCAATCCAAGTACCATTTTAATCCTTTATCAGTCTTAAAATATTTAGAATTGTAAATCATCACAGTGAATGTCAAGAACTGGAAAACTTTTTCTTTCCTTTTGTTAGAAAGATTTTATTAAAAGTTCATTATATAAAATACACCTTTAGAAAGAGATGTTAATGAGGTGATTTTTATTCTGAATGTGTGTCTTTATTTAGCATGTTAACAATCAGTCATCACTTAGTGAAACTGCATTTTGAAATTTTGGAAATGAGAAGCATCTGAAAAAGAAAGACCATAATTGGAACTATATTGCAAATTTTATTTTGCTGTACTATTGATCATTGGGTCTTGGCAGCTGCCTCATTGTTTCACTTCTCTATATTTGTATTTTTAGTCTTTAGAACATTACTTTCATAATCCTGAAATCCAGTCATAACTGCACATGTACATTCCTTTAGTAACTTGCAGTATTATGAACATGCTGATGATGGTGAGTAAAGTAGGTGTTATTTGATTGTAGAATAAATAATGCTGGGTTTTTTTCTTCTTCTCCTGTTGGTTGGGTCCCCACAGCCCCAGGATGGCTATCGGATGGTGCAACAATTTCAGTTCCTGGGATGGCCAATGTACAGAGACACTCCCGTGTCCAAACGCTCATTTCTGAAACTCATACGTCAAGTAGACAAGTGGCAGGAAGAATATAATGGAGGAGAAGGCCGTACAGTCGTTCACTGTTTGTAAGTAAATGAAGTCCTAGGATGATAGCCATTAGCTTAGACTTCTTTAAAAAGATAACAACTCTTTAGAGTTTTCAAGTGTTCAAAGGGCTGTGGGTATATTATCTGGTTATAATCCTTACAACCCCATAAAATAGGTCAGTGTTGTAATCCCGGTGCTGCACATGGGGGGACTGAGGGGACTGAGTCTGTTAGGAGCACGGCTTGCAGCCTTGGTGTCCATCAGCTCCTCACCTTGGAGGCTTACAAGCACCATGCAGAGCAAGAAGTGGTCAAAGTGATTCCTGGTTTCCTGTTCTTCCCACTCAACACATCGGCTAAACATCTGACTGGCCAGCTGCAGTGCTTCAGATGGAACAGGGAGGTGTCCAGAGTACACCAGACTGCCTTGTAACCTGGAGGTCCTAGGCTTCTTCTTAGGATGCCCCCTTTACCTCTTTTCGAAGGTCAGTTTCCGGCCTATGAAGAAGCAGCTGCTGAGGTTCTTTTTCTGCCAGCTGCAAGGAACCGGGGAGCGTGGGGGAGGATTTGAGCACAGATCCCCAAGGTCAGGACTTGGTTTTCAGCCTCAGGGCTGAAGCATCCTGTGGTCCCCCAGATGCTGTCTAGGGCCATAAGATCTCCTGTTTCTGGCTTCATGGCAGAGGCTTCTGCAAGGCATACTGCACCAGGCGAACCTTGGGGAATGTCCAGCAGCTTCACTTGGTGCGAAACACAGCAGCCATTCTGCTAACTGGTGTTACAGTATCATGATCACATGACACCAGTGAAATGCAGTGGTTGCACCAGTAATAATGCACCAGTTACCAGTTGCTTTCCAGGTCTAGATCCAGCCATGGTCTGGTTTTAAATCCTAAATGGCTTAGACCACTTGGCATTTTATGAGCCCGTTATTAAAATCTGCAGCACAGGCCCTCCTGGCCCCACGTTCTCAGTACGTGCTTGACTTTAAGACTTTTATTTGTTTCACTAATGGCTTTTTGCTTGTACTGTTTTGTTTTAAATTTTCTATGCCTACCCTCCTGTCTACTGCCTAGATTGGCCTTAGTTTTTTTCCCTTTAAAATAGCAGCAACACAGGGCTAGGAATGAGCAGCACTGTGCAGAGAAGGGACAAGCCTTTGCACACATACCATGTTCCCAATGAAAATCCTCCACCCGAAACAGCCTTTTAGCATGGGAGTTGTCATTAACCCCAATAGCAGCTTCTTACCAAATAGCTGCTTAGTGAGTGACTCTGCCTGGATTACAACGAGGTCCCATCCCTAACTAGGATCTCTGCAGCTACTGCTTTAGAAGGAAAAATAGACACAAAATACCAAATTAGCTATTTAACCCTAACGCATTGTTGGAAGCAAGCTGAAGTTTCACTGCAGTCTGAAAACAGCGGCATTTCAGGTGCACTAGCCCTGCCTGTGCCCTTTGTATTCTTTTCTTCTCATGTGCCTTGATCTGTGTGCTGTTTGTTTTCATTCCTCTCTCCCCCCTGCCACTAAATGGCTATCTCCTTCGTGATTGAACTGTAAAACAATTAAGGGTTTTTTTTTTCCCTTTGTTCATTTTTAATTTGGAAAAAAAACAACTTGTTCACAGCTACTTCCCAAATCACTAACGTTTTCCAGCCAAAATGGACAGGTAGTTTTATCTCATTGTGTTCTAGTTTTCCTATCCATGGAAATTATAACTCTGTATTTTGTGAGGTTTAGCTTGTTAATACCTTGAGATGCACATCTGGGAGGTCCTTTTTAAATGCAAATTGATCTTATCTCTACCAATTATTTATGATATTAAATGATTGTACCGCATCTCATGCACTCGCAGATGCACATCACTTCGAGGCGGCACAGAAAGGGAAAAACATGCCCTCCAACAAGATCCTTTAAAATGATTTTATTTTAATTAAAATGCTCTAAGAATGGCACAATATCATCCAGTATTTTGGCAGCAGGGAGCATTCTTTTCATGCTGTCGGAATGTGACAGATGTGCCATATTGTAGCTTCCTTTGAAAATCAACCATTTGTGAATGCTGCCTTTAAAGAGCTGCAAGCTAACTAGTTTGTACTCTGGTAATTATTAAGGTTTATTATTTTCACTGAAGTGCAGCCTAAAGATGCTGATTAGAATAGCTGTGGAAATAATAGAGTTTCTAGAGGAGCGAGATTTTCTTGAAGATTAAAAATAGCCAGAGCTAAAGCATTATGAAATGCTATATTTAATCATGCATCTGAACACTTATGACTCAAATTTTTGTGGGAAGTCACTTGTGTTCTCATAGTTGTAAGGCAGATGCAATACTCTGAATCCTTCAAAACTGGCTAAAGCATTAAGATCAGGCCTTCCCCATAGTGTGGATCATTGAGTCATTGGCTAAATAGGAACACTGTAAAAATGTCATAAATACATATTAAACATGTTTTATAACAGCCTGGTTACAACCAGCAGAAAAATACTTTGTGTCAGTGCAAGATGGGACTGGAGTGACAAAGCATGTTACCCTGAACCCTTTTTCTGTTCCCTTTACACTGGTCAGGAGCATTTCATCTGAATTGGCCACTAAAACTATTACAGGACAGTGATTTCTGGATGTAAAGGGGGTATATCAACTGAAATGGGTCAGTGCAGATAGGTTAGAATTTGGGTGGTCCCTTCATTTTGAGAAAAACTGAGCAAGTCCACAAATTTCTCCATAAATGGGTTGGAAAGAATTTGAAATTTAAATGAGAAAGTGGAAGAACAGATTCATCTGTCCTTAGTATGTATATATCCATCCAATTGTTGGTCCACAGTTGGAGGTTGACTCAGAAACAATAATATTACAAAATCCTTTATAGTTCTAATATATCCCAACAACTACCTTACCAGAGATTGTTTGCTTAGATGCAAAGGACACGTAGACGGTAAGCTGAACTCGAAGGCTATTCCAATGAGAAGACAGCTTAAGCTAAGCCTTTCAACAGAAAGGCTGCAAATACTATTTCAGCTTTAGTATCACCGTCATCACAAAAATTGTCCTTATCAGAATCCAGGTTGTTCATTGATACATCAATATATCAATCATCTTTTTTAAGGTCCTCATGTACTATGAAAGGAAATAACCCACACAAAGAAATAATCATGTCATTCTGTTGCTTTTCTTACAGAAATGGAGGTGGCCGCAGTGGAACATTTTGTGCAATCAGTATTGTCTGTGAGATGCTACGACATCAGAGGGCCGTAGATGTTTTCCATGCTGTGAAGACCTTGAGGAATAATAAGCCTAATATGGTGGACCTTCTGGTATAAGCTTTAGAACTGCACCACTAAGTAGAAAATTTTTGCTATTATCATAAGGCACAGTGCATTTTTGAGACTTATACTGAGAGCCTGTTGTTTTCTAGAGAGGATAATGAATCACTTGACTTGTGAAAGTATTTTACGCTGTTTTCCTCCCAAGGAGACTTTGTTCAGTGTATGTTACTTTTTGTGAAAACTTTAAAACTTTTAAGAGAACATCCTTACTAATTTTCCTTTCTGGCAGCACAGTCCACATGGAAAACAGCCTTTTTATGGAAGAAATAATAGTCATGTAAAATGAAATGCCAGATTTTCAAATTATATATTTTATAAATAGCTTAATCTCCTAATATTTTTCAAGACTGTGAATTTCAGTTTGACATTCAGGGTATTGCGTTTAATTATGGCTCTTCTATCTTGCCGAAAGATTAAAAGAGTTCAGAAACAAAGAGTCAGGAGCAATTATCTCCTTGTAGAGTGCTTTATGGAACTTCTTAAATGTAGAATTGCTGAAATGCCAGCTCCTGTTATTAAAAAAACAATATAGGACAACTCAAAGCATCAGGGTATTATGGCCTGTTTTGTTCATCAGTAGTATAAGAATGGTTGCATTGCAGCATGCTGCTAAGAAGCCATGGAGAAATCCCATTACCAGGCACAGTTTGATAGATTGTGAAAGGTCTATATGGATACTGTACTTAGGCAGTGTGATATATTTATCATTTTTTACATTTTTAACTGCTCTTCTTTGGATGTTCTCAAAGCAGCCTGTGTGGCTCCCTTTCCCCATACTACTTTGTTTTCTGAATCTAAATTACCAGGTGTTCTACTTATTTTTCTTTGTGCCAATGGAAATCAGATTTGAAATCTGATTCACAGTGAGCATGTCTAATACAAATAAATATGTTGCACAGAAGAGAAAAAAATTTAAGTCATTTTGATTAACAGAACCTAAAACCTATGTCCTTGATTTAGTTCTTGGTATAATTGACTTTATGCTCTTCTCTTGCCTTGATTTTTCCAGGATCAATATAAATTCTGCTATGAAGTGGCTTTGGAATACTTGAATTCTGGCTGATGGCACAAATCAGAATGGAGGAAAACAAAAGCTTTCACCGCCACAATCAAAGCAAGTTGCTTCATGATATCTGTGTGTATGAGATGAGGACCTCTCAGTGTTAATGCTTTTATTGCTTTGTATTGGCTCTTTTTAAGAGCCCTGGAGAGTCTTTCCAAAAATGCTTGCACTGCCCATTTTCCACGGTATGGCTGTTGCTTGAGACACCTACGATCCCACCGTAAAACACCAATGCACCTCAGTGGTTGGATGCCACTATCATGTAAACCCATCAACTTGATAGACCAGCCTAGTCATCGGGTAAATTAAAGAGCACAATTCTATTCCAATGAAGACATTTGTACTTTTCTGTTGTACTTTTTGTTGCCAGTGATCTTTTGTTGTTGTCGTCAGAGCCTAGTGTACATTTTGTTCTGTGGAGAATGCCATCTAGCATTTTGATAATGTATTTTAGTTACATTTGTATCCTATTAGCTCCTAATAAAACAAAGCACTTGTAGCTTAAACCAAACTAATAGCTACATGAACAGACCACATTAACTTTGCTGAGTTGTATTTTCTGTCCAGCTTGTTTTGTTTCAGAAAAAAGGGACTTGACAAAAGTCCATTAAGAAAATGGAAAAAAATACAGGATGATCAGATTAATATATCCAAAGCTTTTCCCCATTTGTTTATATTGTAAATATTTTTTGATTTCATCAAATTATTTATTCATTAAAAAGAAATCTTTTGTGAAGCACAGTGAGTGACAATCATTTCTATTAAGCCCTGGAAATGCTTACTGTATTATATTGTAAACATTTGTTTACCCTGTCTGGATTCTCAGCTTAATAAATAATTACATATCTGCTAAAATCTCATTTAATATATAGCATCTTGTGACATGGGATTGCCTTCAGCTAAAGCTAAACTTTGTGCAAGGCTTTCCAGATGATTACTTTAGCAGAGTTGAATTGGAGATTCCTATGCCTGGGGGATCATAGCTCAGCAGTACAGCAAATGTTTGCATATATGAATCCCCCAAACCAATCCCTGTCATTTCCAGTCAAAGCATTTCTGACAGCAGGCCTGTCTGAAACAGCAGAAACCTGCATTTGAGCGCGACCGCTAGGCTTGACAGCATGGGCTAGACGGCCAACTGGTGGACTCAGTGCGCAGTCGTTCCCTGCAGACACAGCAGCTCTACCGTCCTTAGGGCTCCTGCAACTCCCGCAAGCAGAGCTTTCCCACATGCTGCAGACGGCTTCATTTCCTCGGCCTTAAGTCGCTCTAAACGCGGATGTCTTAATTGTATGTCCAGTGCCCATGCTGGCTGGAAATTACGGGCACTGCAATGCAATGTCTCTGGACTGCCCCAAAGCATCATCTCTGAGTGAAGGGACTGCAGGTGCTTTCTGTTATTCTTCGCAGTGGCGGGCATCTTGCAGCAAAGCCTGGAAGAGTAAGATGCTGCAAAAAATTTAAAATATCCACTGATACGCTTTAGGGAGCAGATGCAATTTATCTACCTGGTCCTCGCTGGAACTGTGTGCACAAATAGGTGCCACACACGAGCGTTTGTGCTCTAGTTCAGCTTGCGAGACCGCAAGCCCATGTTCTAGTCGCCAGAGGGGTGAGTAATACCGTCACCTTTCTCCTGCTACGATATGATCTCTCCTACCTCTCAGGCAACTCAGGTCCACGCTAAGCATCCTGGTGATCATGCATAATGTAGCGATGTGTAATAGGTGTCCTAATCAAGTGCAAGCATGTGTAGCCTCATTGTGGACTGGAACCATGCCAACACAGGAGGATGCATTAAACCTTTACCCACACCTCTTTGCCCCTCAAAAACACCACCTTTTTCCTGTGGGTGGCAAAAAGGAGAGTTTAAAAGAAACTAAAAGCCTCCATCGATTACACTGGAGACTCTTTTTTTCTTATTTTTATACCTTGCAGGGTGGAATGGGGCGGAAAATTGGTGTGGGGAAGGACTGAACATGCACCTTGTCCTGGATCAGCACACCCCCAGTCCAAAGGGAGCCAAGCTTGCTTACACCAGCATGATGACTGATGGGGACCAACCTAGGTATTTGACCCTCACTGACACTGGCTTCCAAGGATATACATCTGCACAGTTGGATCCAGTCCATTTGATTTAATTTAATCTATGATCTGTTTTATCCAACATTCAAACTGGAATATAATTTAAATAAACTTGTAATGCAAATCCACCATGGCATTGGCTTGTGTCATATTTGACTGGATTCTCTGGGTGGAACCTCACATTCCATGTACTTCCCTTACTTATAAGTATTTTTTCCCTTTGAAGTGGAAAACTGCTGCATGGAAAAAGCAGTCCCGATCCCTCTATCTTTATCTTGGCTTGGATCCAGGCTTTCCCTTCTTCCAAGATAAAAGTCCTGATTGCAGAAGATCCAGTTCTGGACATATCCCTTACTCCCTCTCCCATTCAGCAGTAGCTCCTAATTTTTCTTGTTTGGTTTTCACAGCCCAGCGCAATATCAAGTGGCTCAAATGCCTTTTAAAAAGGTGAGTGGGGAGTAGTTTAACTCTTTCAAAGACCAGAAGGAGTCAAAACAAAGGGGAAGATTTACTTCCTCGCAAAGAGCAAAGGGCAAAACAAAGAAAAAGAAGGCTCTTGCTGGGAAGGGGTGCTGTTTGCAACAGATATTTGCCAAATGATCCCTCTGACCTTTCTTTTCATGAACCAGCCAGTGAAAACAAAACAAGTTGAAGAGAATTCCATGCTTGGCTTGCAACATGCACCACTGGGCTTCGGTATACAAGCCTAGTTTACACAACACACAAGTGTGCCTTTTTATATCCCGTTTTTGTCCCCATTGCCCAAGCAGAGCTCATACCCTGAAATGCGAAACGGAGGACGGTGGAGCCTCTCTCAGTCTCTGCTCCACACCACTGCTCCCTTGCTCAGGGCAGTGCAAGGAGGTAATCGGCCCACCTGCCTCTTCCTGTGAGGAAAGCTCTCCAACAACAGGGTGGTTGTGGGTTTTCCCCATGGTGGGCCGTGTTGTCCCTGTTAAGGTAACAGCACAAGCCACCATGGGTGCCAGTGACCCAAAACAGCCCATGGGAGCCACAGGGTGGCTTGCCTGAAGCAGTTCTCGCTTGGATGACAAGGCAACCCACAGACAAAAGCAAAATGAGGCAGATTGCCACATCATCTGAGCCAGGTACTAAGGAGGGTGCAGAGATACCTTGTAAGGACATTGGATTCAATATAAATTGGAATCCAACCAAGTATTTTTCCCCTGAAAATTTCCCTCATCACAAGGTACTTTTTTCTTCTGCAGGAGAAAAATATGGGTGCTGTGTGAGCTATGTCAAGAAGCTACATCTTGTGTTGTTTCTTCTGTTTAAACCTCACACTTTTGCTATTCCTTTCCTATACAGCCTAAATGAGCTATCTGGCAAGGCTGCCCAATGCAGTGCTTACTGGTGCTCTTTGTCTGCCAATGAGTCCTGTTCCACTTGTTCAGGACCTGTGTTTTTAAGTCCTTTAACTTGATGCTCTTTGCTTCCATTAAGTTCCTTGGAGCCAGCTGTGAACCATGACATCACTTTTCTGCCATTTCTCTGGATGGCTATTTGAATACTGAGTCCAAATCTTCAGCGAACCAGTTTTAGGAATATATCACACAACCTGACTCTGTATAGAGTGTTCCTCACTTTAATGTTTGTCCTATCTTGGTGAAGAGGTTAAGAGGGCAGAACTGACATTTGGGCAATTGGGGTTTGAGTCCCCACTCAGCCATGGAGCCAGCTGGGTGACTTTGGGCCAGTCACAGACTCTCAGCCCAACCTACCTCACAGGGTTGTTGTTGTGGGGATAAGATTGAGAGCCGGGGGGAGAATGATGTAAGCCACCTTGTGTTTTTGTTTTTTAAGAAAAAGGCAAGATATAAATAAAATGTAGGCATTGCTATTAGAATATGTTATTCTGGAATATCTCTGTTGCTAGCTCAGAAATCTCTGTGACTGTAAGAAATGTTTAATGATGCAATCCTATGCATGACTGCAGAAAAAAAAAATCCTACAATTATGGTAGCATTGTTTTCTAAGTTACATTTCTCACTTTAAAGTCCTTTGAATTTGGAGACTTCACACTGGCATGACTAATTGAGAACACAGGTGTTGCATCACCCTTGGCAATTACTGAATAGAACAACCCTCACCAGCATGAGAACAGTTCAATGGATTACAGTTAAGGTGGAAGTGGGGAGCTACTCTGTATTACAGCTTTTATTGTGGTTTGAAAACTGAACTAGTTTAGTGACTTCAGCCATTTACTTTCTTCCAATTAATTTTTCCAGGTGACAAACCCTCTTCCTGCCGAAGCAAACTTTTCCCAGGCTGATTGCTTGGATAGTAAATAATACCTGTTTTGATGCAGACATTTTCCTGATCATTTAAAATACTATTCACGAGGTAAGGTCTTAGACTTGACATCTGGAATAACAGCTGGTTTGATGTGACTTTCTATTCTGATAAAAACAACTTTTACTGGAAATAGATATTAAATATCATTCTAGGTGATATATCTAGAATGGGGCAGCCTGAAATTGAGGTCTCAAGTTGATACCCTTTTTAAATGGAAGTTCTCACATCAACTGTACACTAACATGTGTTAATGCCAGTCAAAAATAGAAACATGACTAAGTACTGCAGTAGCTATTGGCAATGTTTCCAGCCACTGTGGTCAATGGGAGAACATTTCCACAGACAGGATTTTCACATTCTATGATGTCATAAAAATTGCTCTTTTGTCTCATCAGAGATGGCTGGTGCCTCCAAAAAGCAGTGGTGCTAAGTTCCAATCCAATCATCTCGGCCCCATCCAGAGGCCTTTCCATCTGACACAGCTTCACTCCTTTTGCCTTGGCTTTATCCGGTACTGGAATTAGTCCCTGAGAGCTTCTCTGAAATGGAATTTGGGCTTCAAGTGGAAGAGGCTGAACACCCCTTCCCTATTTTCAACATTTTTAAACAAAAACTTGATGATGATGTTTGTGCTATTATTATTGCTACTACTGTTGTTGTTATTATTACATTACAATTATACTCCACTTTTTCCCTTTTGCAAGGAACCCAAGGAGTATCACAGGATCTTCCTCCTCTCCATGTTGTTTTCACAACAAAGCCATGCAGTATGTCAGGTGGACCAAAGCCACTCGCTAAGCCTCATGGCTAACCAGGGACTAGAACCTGGATCTCCCCAGTCCCAGTCCCACCACTGTGCCACACAGGTTCTCATGGCATTTTCCAACATTTTAGCTTTCTTGTGCAAGTTGACCAAGTTGTCTATTCAAAAGCACCATGAAATTAAAGTGTTACCATTCATGAGAATTACCACATTCTGGTCCATTCTGGACTGCTTTAATGGAGCTTCAGCTTTTGAGTGGTATAGCAACATAATAAATGAAGTAAGATGAAATACGAATACTGCTGCACGTGGGTATGAGGAAGCCATTCCTCTTTATCTTCCAACTACAGGGTAGACAATAATGATAGAATCGGCTTTAAGCATGTGCTTCTGGTACAAATTAAGGCCTGTTAGGCTGTTTCACCAGCAAAGGCCAGTCGCCTTTAAGTCTCCCTTGACAGGCACTTGGCAGGCCTTTGATGCAACACCTGCAAGGACTAAAGGACACCAAGTTAGAACTTGGATAATTAAGCCTTCAAGGACCTATAGCAGATTTGCTTGTTTTCTCAATGGGAAGGCTATACCTGCCTTGCATCTCCAAGAATTTCAAACCCAAATAGGGTCTATATTTTATATTGATTTCCAGACTTCTTACAAATTGAACTTGCTGAGGGATCCAATAAAGGATCAGTTTCATCTGCACTGGACTTTGTAGAAAGTGTGCACAGAAGCCATGTAGGTAATAAACAATATGTTCCAGCAACACTTCTAGGATTACTATAACTACATTAGGTGGACCAAATCTGGATTTAAGACCATGTTCTTTTCCCACTGTTAGTACTAACATGCAGTGAAAGAAAGCTCTTACTGCCAGTAACTAAGCCTTTGAAGAGATATTTCCACTTTTTAGAATGGGGGGAAAAGTCACAAAAGCTAGGAAATCAATCACCAAAGGTTCAGTGGTCAGTGAAAAGAGGCACAGCTGCCTCTGAAAACATGGAGGGCCAGAAACAGGTCCACACAGGTGCATTGTGCCTTCCCACTCCTGCTTCCAACTTGTATTTCCTCCAACAGAGAGTCTGACTCATTTTTTTTAGAAGAATTGAGAGGTAAGGCAAACTCTACAAATCACATGTAGCTGCTGTTCTTGTTTTAGCTGGGATTTTTGTTTTGTAATGCTCAGCTCTGCTCTTTTAGAAACAATATAACCAATCTCAAAGTGGCCATTCTTGAGTAAGGAGACTTCTAAGGGAAATTAGAGCTAGAGACACTGCGGAGTTAGAATTCCTCAGCTGGTTAATTCTGTCACCAGAGGCTTGAATTGGAATAATGGATTTTTAATTACACAATGTGTGTTAATGATCTACCTAGTTCCAGAATGATTGTCTATCAACAACATCATTCTGAAGTACCACTGTGAATGCTTGCTATTCTTTTGGAACTCCCTCTTTCCTCCACCCTTGCACCAATACCAGTATTGTATAGAAAACTCTGTGCATCTCATGGATTGGGTTCTAGTCCATGCTGACTTATGCAAGAATAATAGTGCCACAAGAGTCTTTGTTTCTGCTTCAATGGACTAAAATGACTACCTTCTGGAAATTGCTACATCTCTTGTGAACAGTCTCTCAGTGTTGCTGCCACTATGATGCTCTTCAAATTCCAAATTAATCTGTTAACACTTTATCTGAAGTGCTATGTTGCAATTTGCAAACTCCTTTCACATAATATATTAAATGCTCTTTATAACCAACCAGCCAGAACCATTCTGCAATGTCATTTTCATGACTGTTGCTGTAAAATGGATTAAGGTTACACTGTGGTTACCTCTCAGACGTAGTTGGGATCTTCCTATAAATTGCAAGTGTCCACAGCATCTGCAAAATTATTTAAGAAACAATTAACATCAGCTGCTCAACCTTGCAGGACTGTGTCAACTGAACTGCTTATGCAAAATAGCCTGAATCAACATGGGGAAATTTGCTTTTGTTTGTTTGTTTGAAAAACAGCTTTGAAAGATTGAACTATTTAAAGAAAGTCTTTTCATTA